TATGAATCTATGAATCTATGAATCTATGACACTGTTAACTAGAACCTACTTTCAATAAAGTTCATATGGGTGGAACTCCTCAGAGATGGAAAATGTAACAAATCCTTCACCAAGGTTCAACATAAATCCAAATTTTGCTTCTCCACAATTATTGCTACTTGCTTAAATTCTGAGGTCCCTTCACAGTGTCATACTGAGTCAAGAGTTTCCACTGTACCTCTGTGGTAGGCACTGTATAGGCATGACACCCAGGGAAACGCTCCTCACTCAGTCAGGAAACTATGCAACAGACTGTGTGATGCCTGGTAAAAAAGATGGACAAAATGGGGGACTGGGCTGTGACAATGAAGGAGTTCACTGCTGCCTAGTAAAGAGTCAGTCAACACTACATCTCCACTTCCCCAAAGAAGTTTAACCGGAGTTGTGGACCTACAGCTTCCACTTTTGTTCCCCTCCCATTCACAGCTTTCAGAGATTCTTCCAGTACTGATACAAATATATTTTAGTTCAGGTCACCTTTCTGGGCTTGATTTCAGCGATGAAGCACGGTTTGGCAGTGGCAAAGTGGCAGATCTCTTAACAACCTTCTCTGAATCAATATTGTCCATCTCACTCTTGGAGCGGGGAACTGAAAGCTGAGTTCTGCCTGTAGGATAAATCAAATATAGAAATATTGGTGAACTGGATAGAAGGCAAATAAATACATGCTTTACATGTCTTTTCTGTTTGACAGATTACACAAGAAATGTGAACTACTTACTGTCCTCAGAATAGGAATAACGAGGAGAATATGAATCAGAATCTTCATCTGAAAGACAAAAGCATTTTGCAAGTGAGCTGAAAAAGCCACAAAGAAGTATCAGAGAACCTTTTCATTTCTTCTAATACATTGGCCGTAATTTGAGTGATACGCCAAATACTTACCACAGGGAGAGGATCCTAAAAAAGAAAATCCCAATGAGGTTTCGATTGCATTTAAATATAATTCCTAGATTAGATATAAATATTAATGTACTACTTAACACTAATACCTTTCTCCAGGCTCTCAAAGCACTTTAGAAAACAATCACTTTTTATCACAAAAGTCCTCTACAGCAAGGGTTATTAGATCCACTTTATCAAAAGCTGAAAGATAGAGGATCTAAAAGCTGTAGTAATGCCTAAAATAACTCATTAGGTCCTAGACACAGTAACAGAGCCGAGAAGTCCTGCTCCCAATCACATATGACAATTGCTGGGACATCTTCCTTGTATTAACTTGCACACCAAGTTGAAGTACGTTCACTGACTCCGATTATCTTTTAAGTGCAGATAACACTCCTGACATGAGACACACGTGTATACTTACATCAACAGACTGTCCTTGTTCTGAAGAGCTTACTTTTTTTAAGTAGGAAAGACATGCCTATAGAATGCAATAGAGATACTCAAAAGAGTATACTCAATAGAGATACTCTAGAAGAGCTAGCAATGACATCCGTGTAAGCAAGTGGTGTGGTCTGGCCCCCAAGCTGAACAACGCTCTCACTTTGACAGTGAAAGAGTTACACTGCATCAACACAGCAATGTCGCTCCCAGGACACAACTTCTGCCTTGGGCCGCGGAACCACATACTGCCTTACTCAAAGATAACATGGTACTGTAGCTCGGCACGGCAGATGTGCCTAGAAAGAAGGTGGGAGGATGGCAGCATTACCACCCCCGACTCTACAGGTCATGGCCAGAGAGACTTTGACTTAATCAAAAACCTAGCAGTATCGTTCCATCATCTTCAATTGGCTTTGAAATGAATCCTCAACGAATTGCAGATAGTAGAAGGGGAAGTTGGGATCAGACCTGGAAACTGGACCCACAGGCCCATCACCTTCCTCTGCTGATGAGGGTTCAAACTTGCAGGGACGTGTATAAGAGACATCTGTAGGACTTCCAAGGCAAAATACAGGAAAGTACAATGCAATGATTGCAAAGAGAACTATGAGCAAAGGTATTACTAATACCTCTGAAGAAACCACTAAAAGTGACGGATATAAAAAGACAGAAAAATAAAATAAATGAAGCTAGAATAAGCTAGATAAGAAAAGAACATACTAAAAAAGTGTTATGTGAATTCAGTGATGCCGATCAATAGATTGAAACAAGCCTCAGATCTTCTCTCAAGGAGGACATCAATCAGCTGCTACAGCCAATTTCATCCGCTGGAAAAAACAATCCGGCTAACACAGCTGACCTGAAATTGCACTCAAGCCTTAATCAAAGGTTTCAGGAAGGCTCAAAGTAGTCTTAAATTTTAGCCTCTCTTCTGAGTTCTCTTGGTGAATGAATTAGAAGGTGTAAGTTCCAAACAGATGGTTATTGACTCTGGTGTGCTTATCATAACCTTCAGGTTAAAAAATAGTGAAGGTCAATTTTCAGGTCAATTCCTGGATTTTAAACCTAAATGATACAAAAAAGATATTTATTTATTTAATGTTATTACACTGAATTGTTGACAAAATTCACTGGTATTCCTATATAAAAGTTGGGTTTATTCAGATAGTAAAATACTTGGTAAATTACAAAACTCTCAGTCCCTACAAATATAGATGCACAAATATCTAATACTATCTTCACAGTCACTCACCTCTCAGTCTTATTTAGTGCTGGTGATCAATGAGAAAATTGATTTAGTTACTCAAAGAGAAATATCAATATTCATGATAGCTCATCATTCAAAAAGGAAAACCTTACAATAAAAACTTCACTTCAGGTAAGTGCTACTTTCCAATTGGTAATATTTTAAGATCTATAACAATAAGGAGAACAGGTATGTTTCTCTATCTTACAAAGAAGAGTGTCCGCATTTCTCCTCTTTTTACAGCAAGGAATGAGGTTTCAATGTATCTCTGTACAAACACTGTTGTCATTGAGCATATAACTTTGAAATGTTTTCTAGACATGAAACATGCGCTCCAACCCATCTACATCATCAGATATTCTGGATTCCTTATCAAGAATCCAAACAAACATTAGAGAAACGTTTCCCAATGTATTGAGAATAAAAAGCAAGTGCTTGATTCAACAAAATTCCAGCTACCTAAACCAGCAATTTACTTTCATATGCACATTTGTAAGTGCAAAAGGGACATTTATTGGAAACTAGACTCTACAAATATCATCATCATCGGTTTTGCAAACTGCGTTAGTTCCAACAACAGCAAAACATATTTTCAAACTTCATTATGAACAAGAAAATGGAATCTCTGTAAAAGTCCTTTATCAATTGGTAACTGAGACTCTTTGTTTCTCTCTTATCCATACCCACCCATTCTGCCAACAGAAAATAATTTACACTGCATTATGATTTACAAGACAGGACTTTTCACCTGCAAGTTTCACCAAGAAATAAGCAAGTATCTTAGATACCTGTATGACACTAATCCACATTCGTTTTAACAGCGAAACACACCTTACATCTCCTAGTCTTCTTTAAGCATCTCATCTAGAACTCATATTGTATGCTTTCGTCTTACACAGTACCCACCAACGTTTAATATAAGCACTGAATGAAATGGTTAATTAATAGTCTCACCAGGGTTGGCCTGAGGTGCAGGCTAAGTAGGCAAGTTCCTAAATTGCAGGATCTAAACTGACATCAAAGCACCAAGTCAACAAAGCTGTCACCAGCATCAATTTTCCAATCAGGAAATGTCTGTATGTCCAGTGTGTGCAGCAGATTCCAGTGTTTCTCCTATATATGTGTTTCCATGCATATGCACACAGTCACACAATTATCACTGCAATAGCTGCTATTTCACCATCCCTGAAAAGTGACTGCAAAAGATTCTTGTTTGTATATGAAGCTTAAAGGAATCTGCTGAGCACATGAAGAGGATAAGGTAAAGACAGTGTTATTCCAAGTTGCAAGACGTGCTGATGAGACTGTCAAACTCTGTCCTTGCCTAGATATGCCAAGTACACCTAAGGCCAGCCCTGAACCTACGTTACTAAGTTATATTTATTTTAAAAGACTACATTGAGGGACTGATCCAAAACCCACTGAAGCAAGCAGCCTTTTTACTAAGAAACTTCAGGGGCATTTTGGGTCTGGCCCTAACACTGTGTTAATGTTCAAAACCAGAAGTAAACAATTAAAGAAATTTATTGATCCAAAAAGAGGGTGAGAGAAATCTCAGTTAAACCACATCTTTACATGTAAGTCAGCATTCTAGGCATGTTAAATAATCACTGCACGCACATGGCTAAATACAACTGAGAAGCGCATAAACCCAAGCAGATCTCAAGTCTGTAGCATTAGTCAAATACTAGTTACAAAGCCAGAGGAGCACTGCAAAGCCAAAAAGGCATCATACAGTCAAGGCAATGCTTAGAGTGCAGCAAATCATTATGAGGCAGCATAATGCTCAGCAACAAGAAAAAACTCCAGGAAGAAAATAAATGGATAAGGCAGCACTTGTGCAGAAAAATACATATGGTCCTTTATTATTACCTTCAGAGATAGGACTAGGAGTAGACGCAGGAAACTGGTATGTAGGAGAATAAGGATTGTCTTCTGCAGCAGAGAAAAGCGGTGGATTTTGAGACTATCCACAGTGAAGTGGAGGTTCTGCTTCATCCCCCAATTTCCTATCACCATATGATTTTATTGCCTACTTTAAATGGCATCATACTTTAAGAAAAGATTAATAGATTAGCAAAGGTTTAGTTATTTTAAGCATGAAACTAGAAGGTATACTGGGCATAACTGAATTTCCAGCCAGTGTAACACATGGGCAATGGAAATCTAGAACCTGGATCTAGTTACTATTAGGGTGCTATAGTACAGTTAACTCAAAGCACAAGACAACAGATACTCTGACTAAACTTCTGGTACCTTCAGTTTTTTGCTGGATTTCAGGAAGTTCAGGAAATATGTAGGTAGGGCAATAAGGGTTTTCTTCAGGAGTGTCTAAGGAGAGGAACATGATTTGCAAAAAAGAACAGAGAGGACAGATTTAAAGGGGAAGGAGGGCGAGAAAAGAATCCATACAAGCTGACTGCAGAACAGTCCCTCTCGTGCTGATGTTCTATCATCACACAACCTTGATGCCTCTTTGCTCCCTTGCACGTCTGGGCCCTGTGAGAGATCCTGGAAGCTGAGGGGACTGAACTCATTCTCTTCCTTCTGAAGCATGAGCTCTGGCTGAACTGAAAAACCTCTGTTAGGAGTGCTGGGATTAGGAAACAGTTCAACTCTTTCTCATTCCATTCAATGAAACACAGCATCAATCTATGCATAAAGCTCATCATGACAGCACCTGCAGCAGTAAACACAGCTCCAGTTTTGCATGCTCTATGTTTTATCACATAAGTGCAGTTCTGAATTACATTTGCCTGCACGTCAGGCTGTTCAGAGGGTTCAGTTTGCAAATGCTACTGCAGCCATTTCTCACACAGAAGAAAACATGAACGTTATCAGTAGCCAGGCACAGACATGTCCGAGAGTAGGGGATCCCCTGAGAGTGCATCACTACAAAGTTTGCAAGTGCTCACCACAATTTTAGGTTTTGAAAGGAGAGAACTTCAGGTTTTGAAAAAGCAGAGTTCAGAGTCTGAACTCACCAAAAATCAGTGGAAACCCTTCCACTGGATTCAGTGAGCTTCAACTCAGGCTTTGTTATGCAGATACTAAAGCTTTACAGTGTAAAAAGTTTTCTCTTAAGCAGAGAGCAGTTCCAGTGACAACCTACTGTCCTTTAAAAGCTTGCAGGGGTGGGGTTAGCTGCTAAAACTGGAGTTTAGGGATCTGTTTTATTTAAGCATGGAATTATTAGCAGCTTCCTAATCTCAAATAGTACTTTTGATTTCATGAGGGCACTGCAGTCCACCTTTCAGAACAACTCAGACTTTTTTCGGACTTTACTGTTCCTCACCTTTGACTTCAGAGATTTCAAATATATTGGTCGAGTTCTGTGGTGCAGAGCAAATACTAGTTGACATAAAACACTTTTACTTAACATCCAGTACAATTCTCCACATGAATGAAACAGAACATTATCAAGGTAGTCTTTTAAAGTAAATAAAAAACATCTGTGTTACAGTACCTCTATTCAGCTTATGGATCTGTTTGAACATCGTCTTGTACCAGTCCTTCGATCTGTCAGTATTCTATTGGAAAAATAAACATACACATAAACAATCACAACCATGAACTTGACCAGCCTTTCAAAGTGCTTATGAATCTTCCAGCAATGAAAAAGGTTTGCATTCTGCTATATGAAGGCTATATGAAATTAATAATTTGAAACATGAGTGATTTCACTCAGATATAGAATCTCACATGTAATGAAGCTACAGACTTCACTCAAGTGAACATATACACTACTAACATACAAGCTTTGCAGGGGTAGGCTGTAAACTGCGTAGAACTGTAGATGATTGTGTGGAAGGTTTTCCATATTAACCTGATTTGACGTCTAAAATTAAACACCTTGCCTATTTTAGTCATTTGTACAGATTTCCTAAGTATTCAGTGGACAGTTAGAAACGTTTAGTGTTCAAGTCACTCCAGACACTAGTTGTAAGAACAGGTTAACAATTCTTTTCATGGTAATTTCTCCTGAACACTAAGTGAACTTAAACATTTTGTGTAAGAGAGATATCTGCCTTTAAGATGATTAAAATGAGACAAAACTCTCCCTTAGCTGCTAGCAGTGAATGAAACAAAAGAACAAAATCCAGTATTCTCAAATACAATAACAAGAGATACTGATTTTTAATTTTTCCCTCGAGGCAGCTGAAACAGGTCATTGATAGCAAACAGAAGCGTTCATAACAAAATACATTGGAACTAGAATTCTGTCTTCCCTTAAATCCCTGCAGTCTCTGGAGCTTTAGCAAATTTCCCGAGTCCTAAAGTAGGCAGAATCTGGCCCAGGTTTAGGGCATCGACCACATGCTCAGTGTGTCTTACCCTCAGTGGAATGCCAATGTCATCAACGGAGGTATCAGCCATGTACTGAGGGCTCTTAACAATGTTTCTCTTCTCCTCCATTGCCCTCTTCTCACTTGGCACTGTATCCTGAACCGGCTTGTCCCGTATGAGTGCTGAATCAACTTTATCAGAAACTAGTCTGTCTGGCACTGAATCTGGAAATGACAATAGGAGACTCTTATCTCATCTCAGCATTTCACCACACCACCATATTCCACTCTTTTAAGGTAAAAATCCTAGCAAGTAGTTGATGAGACAGACTGTGTCACCACTATCTATGGTTAGCATCTGGACTGAAGGAAATCTACCAAGAAAATGTTTGATGCTAGCAAAAGCAGACTAGCATCTATCAGGTAGCTACTCCCACACATCTCATGACAGTCTCAGCTGCCATGTAAGACGACGGAAAATTTTGGTTTCAAGGACTATTTGGGGATTGGTTCTCGTGTCTTTTTGACTAATTAGCAACTCTGCAATCTCATTCTTCATCAAAAAGCATCACTGATATGGTCTCCTAGACATCTTTTCCTGCTAGTGATTTCAATCTAATGGAACATTCTATGTGGTAGTGGGGCACTACTTTTTAACAGTTTGCACTCACTTGTCTGACAATCTCATTCCTTATGGTCAGTATATGATGCTTCCAATTCATCTCTGTGCCCTAACCCAAGCTGGTAAACCACAAATTCCACTGTTGCTTAAGCATATGTATAATTCTTCTTGCACATGAGTCTGTATAAAGATGGAGGGAAATAACTAATTGCTCTGGACTGCCTTGCTTCCACCTGGAATTCCTTGATGCAGCCCAACTGACATCCACAACATAGCAGCAGGCACCATCACCACCACTGGCCAAGGAACGAAGGGAGCTCAGGTTGCTCTGAAGCTCTACTATGCACTGGAGAGCTGTAGCACAGAAACCCTTAGGCTCTGCTGAGGACTTTTTCTATGTGGATTTTCTGGAGAGGAAACATCTATGATTTTACAGTCTGCCTCATCAAGACTTTGCCAAGTCCTATCCTTTTTACATCACTGCATGCACTGAAGAGAGAGAGAGACAGAGAGATGTTTATTCACATGCACATCACCATACTGCCCAAAGCCATTAAAGTACAGAAATCTGAAACGGGCAGTTAGCAGAGGAAAGGCTCGTGCATAACAAAGCATTGGTCTGTTGGTACCTTCAGCAAACACAATTCTGCCCTGCAAAACACAGTATGTGAAGGATTTGGTTTTGAGTGCTTGGTTTGAAGTTATCACTGAACTTTAAGTCTTCTTCTTTAAGAAAAAATAAACTCGAAATGGGACAAGGCATCTATTAAATTCTTGTTTAACATTTTTATCCTATTTTCCCTTCCTGTGAACGTGTGTGCACTTTTTTGGTCTTTTTGTGTCCCTGGTATACAGGGCTCTCCATCTGGTAACAAGTATTTGGTCCATTTCCATTACTAAACTTCTTACCCTCTAGGAACAGAGCGTGGAAAGAGCAACTGAAACTAGACCATTCTTCCACAACCTTGAAGACTAAAAGCATGGGGTTTTTTGGATGAGGATGTGAAGAGTATGCAAACTTTAGGAAAGGTCACAGCTTTCCTCCATTATTTATCATTGTCACTGCCAATGTTACAAGTCCTGAGTCCATCAAAGTCATTATTTTCTGCAGGCTAAAGAATTCAATGCCAGAGAAGGTCACAAAGTCCTTCTCTAACAGGACTGGTAAGTATATGCTATTTCTCTTTGATTCCCTAGCTCCCTGCACTGGAAAACTGGTTGGCTGTTTGCCAGGTAGACTCCATCTTAAACTATGATGCTAATATTCAAAATACTTAATATAGACATAAACAACAGAGTAAGTGTATGCCATGGCCATGATCTAAGCAAAATCTTTATTTTGATGACGTAGCAAAAGTATAAACCACCATCTAGCCCATGCCAGTCATCTCCCAACCATGAATTCACATCTTTAATAATATAACATGAAGATTTGGGAGCTATCTAGCACGGTATAGCCATGAGGGAAATTGACGAGCCAGTTAAGTGCATTTTGAAGGAGTTTTAAATTTTTTTTTTTGGAGTGCACTTAGGACTGGTTGAAGGCACTGGACTGACAACCCCGGAGACAGGAAAGGCCTGTCTGACAGCATGAGTTGTATTAAGACAAGCCCTCCCTGTGCACCCTGCCAGGTGAGTCCTTCCAAGTCCATAGGACTCAACCAAGAGGACCAGCTTAGCTGTTGGTCCAGTTTGGCTGCTCAGCGGATACTGCAAACACAGATGCCTGCTGCACAGGTGTCTTTGCAGAAGGAGGAACTGAAGCAGGCTTCTTTCACCACAGATTTCCTATAATACCCTACAGCTTGGAGAGTAACAGCTAAACTTCACGCTGACTTATTTGCCATGCAGCTCCAATGATTTCAAAAAGAGTTTATGGAGGTATACATCAGGCTTTGAGGTATTTAAAAATTCGAGCCTCAGATCTGGTGCTTAATCACCCAAATAACCAGACTCCACCAGTCAGCACACTCCATGACACCTGAATAGTCCTTTTCCAAGAGCAACAGCAGTATTTGGAGTTGCACAGCAAGAGAATTTTACTGCTGTGACAAACAGGACACAAAAAGCAGGGGGAGAGGTGGCAGCCACCAGCTTTGTGTGGTTGTTTTGGTACACTGAGAGCAGGTGCAGACCCAGCTGTGCCACAATGCACTTAATTCTTCCAGACCAAGGATCATTCAGGTTGTGATGTGCTGCCTGTGGCCATCTCTAGTTCACAAAACAAAAAAGAATTCCAGATAATGAAGGGAAACACCTTGTGAAAGGGAAAACCAACAGGAAACCTCTGTCCAGACTTGCAGGCAAGCATCAAACTTGCAGCTGAGTGGTGTCTGATGAGCCAACACCTACACTAAGGGAAGGAGCTGAGAGGAACTGGTGTAAGCTGTTATGCAGCCTCCCACCTTAGCAGGGTGACAGCAGAGGAGGGACAGGCTGGTGCTGCAGCTAAAGGAACCTGGTGGATGAAGTCAGACCAGGTCAGCAGCTGCCTCATGGGACACGCTCTGCTAGTCTAGGGCCCACGCAGCAGAGCACGAGCATGCAGTATTGGCTTCCCTGTGTTTCTGTTTGTGATATTTAAAGTGCTTAGGCACTCTCTGTGACTCTCTTCTCTCTCACCTCTCCATTCACCCCGCCATGGCCATAACCAAAGAACAGCAATATGGGTAAGTGGTGCATAATGTGCTGTTCCTACAACGCCCACTGCAGTCTGAGCTACTTCTATTTGGGGTGTGGGGAGGGAAAGATGATCAGGAAAACAGCTTGCTCTTCCTCACACCTGTTGCAAGAGCAGAGAGCTGCCCAGGGAGAGAAGGGTAGCAGCACCCGTGTATACTTGCGCACTACAATTTTATGATCTATTTCTTGACATCTGGCACAAATACTTCTGCTCTTGGAGTCATGTAAATACTGATTTTTATTTCTTTTCCTCTCTCCTCACCACAAGCAAGACTAACTCTAACAGCTGTGTAGAGAAACTTGAGAATATGCCCCCAGGGAATAAACCTAAAGGCTCAAAAGGCAGCCCCAAAAGTCAACTAGAACAAACAAACTGTATGTAAATCTTATGGCTTAGGAGGAACAGATGAGTAATTTATGGTTTTGGTATATTAACATGTGGCCATACAGGTAGCATTTGGAGAAAAGGCTCAAATCAAGCATTCAGTGACCTTGACTAAGCCAGGACAAATATTTATACTAATTCCTTTGCAGTTCCTGAGAAGTGTGTTTGCTAAAGATACTCCACAAGCTAACAAAGCAGCAGCTTTGCTCCAGCATAGGCAGCAGTTGGGGAGTAGCAGTACTTTCATGTCATACCTGCCAGGCTACTAAGCCTTTTTTGCTGTTCTGTGGTAAAGGAAGAAACAAAACAAAAAGAAATACAGAACAAACACGTGAGACATAAACAGCATGTGCTCTGGTGCTGCACTTCTGACAGGCCAGAAATACGCTGCAGACAGAATGGCAGCAGCTGCTGGAAAGATCTGTTTTCAAATACACTGCCAAAGTGACAGCCCACAGTCCCTTCTCCACACAGCAGCCTCATGGAATAATATGAACTTCACGATGCAGTGACTGATACATTTGCAAAGAGCATTTTTTTTAATTTTATTTGTTTTTTCTTAACATCAGAGAATGAAAAAAGTTCATGAAACAGAGAACAAAACAAAAGACAATTCGAAAAACAGTAGACTCAGAGTCAAAAAACTTGACAACTGTTACCATTAGCATGAAGTACATTTTGAAATAATAATGTCATAGCATTTTAAAGGAATATAGGAAAGGATCAAGTCATTGTTGGTGCTTGCCGAGTCTCATCACATACTACCAAGCCACAGATTCAGTGATCTGCACACAGACACAGCTTGGTTAAGGCTTTGATTCTCAGAATGGTCCCCTTGGTTTAGGGCCTTCCATTACTGAGTTCCAAGACTGGGACATTTGTGGCATTTTCCAGCGTGTTTGACCACCCTGAAGTTGATGCTTATAGCTGCTTTCTAAAGGGATGACCAAATAACTTGCCCAAGTTGCAGCTGAGAATAAATCGAGAATTCTTAGCTCTCTGTTCTCTGCTCCTTCTATTTATTCCCTAGGAATTAATCCTTTCATTTAAAGCACGAAAGCCATTTGAAAAGAAAAAAACTATTTTACTAACATACAAAATACAAACACTCCCGAAAGGTTATATTGTTAACGTAAAGATTTCAAAACTTTGATATATTAATCACACCTGTTATATTCATAATAAACCAGGCCATGCAATGCCTGCCCAGAAAGCAACTATGCTTTGGGGTGGCAGGGGACACTTGTCAAGCAAGTCTGCAGTAGGTAGCAATCCTCCAGTTGTACGCTGCTTGCTAGCAAAACTCACCTTCACTAGATATTTGTACTAAGTGGATCAGCTTCAGCAAGAGAGACGGATATTTCTCCTAAGTTCAGCTCCCTCATCAATATCCATGAACTTTGCTCTTTAACCCCAGCACTTCTGCCTTGCTAACCACCAAGGGCAAGCTGCTCGCGGGCATTATGCTCAAGTGATAGCTGTCCATATATGAAACAAACCCCTGTGTGCAGTGCAGAAAAGGAAGGGCTAGCAGTCTGAACCTGAAAAGTAGATAGGAACCACTTGCTGCAGGGTTCACTCTTACAAGCAGGCCATCAGTAGTAGGCCAGTGTATTACGAGAAAGGAGAAAAGATGCAAGTGAGGATGGTCTCAGCTTCAGCTATCAACATCACTAAGGAGAACTACGTTCAGTCAATAAGGTCTCCTGACAAAAACACATGGTTTGAAGAGTTGATGCTTGACAACTCTTTGCTATCTCTTCTTCTGCAGAGCAGAAAATATCTTTTAGTGAGAAAAAAACCCCAACATTAAAATGTACTTTTCACAGGAAGAGGAGGTTTTCTTTTCACTTGTAGCTGCTTATGGATAGAAGCAAAAGGAGTGGGAAACGTCTGCTACTTTACTCTCCTGCCTGACCAGAGACAGCTTGTAGCCTCAGGCACACACCAGCTAACTGAGGCTTTCGTCCTTGACCTTGTGTTCTGGGACTGTAAGCAACAGCCAACACCTTGCAGGCTTCTCAGAGAAAGGGTTGAGCAGAGGAATATAACTGCTAGCAACAGTAAAGGAATTATTATAGATGGCTTCAGAGTTCCTAGAGGAGGGAGCATTGGAGGAAGATTAAGACTTGAAACCAATAACGAAACAAGCATTTGGGTACATATTTAGTGCAAAATAAAGGTGACAAAAAGGAAATTAATGAAGACATCAACAGATATGAAGGTAAGAAATTCTTACCTTGGTGCTAGGAATGAACAAGAAGATCTAAAATGACTTGTTCATAAGCATAAATCTTATACAGCTGGTATTACTGAAATTCAGTAGAAAAAATCCTGAGATCTCTCATCACAACTTACCGAGTAAGATCAAGCATACAAAAAAAGGATATAGTGTAGTTTCTGTGCTTCAAATGACATTACCTGTATCTAAGTCTCTGATACCTCCAAATCAAAGGGTCTTACATACTTACAGATTAATGAACTAGCAGATAAAGCACAAAATAGGACAGCAGGTGATATCTGCTACAACAGTCAGTCTAGAGAATAAGACAAGCAGCTCCTTAAAAGGCAATCAATAATTCACTGAGGAGAAAGAAAGCCACATTATCCATCTGGAAGACTAACTAAACTACTGGAGATCTCAGACTGCCAGCATTAAAACGACCTTGAAATTTCTAATTCAGAGGGTATTTCATAGCATACAAGAGGAATTTATATTAAACCACATCTTGACATGAAGAAATCGATTTCAGCACAAAACATAATTAACCACTCAGTGAAAGGTGGATCATAACCTAGTAACAATTTGTCATATGCCCTGAGACCAAACCAGTTTTGAATAGATAAGGTCCATAAAGATGAAACCAAATATGAATCATGTCAGCCAGGACAGAAATGTAATAGATAACTAAGATCTGAGAAACATTTAAAAACACTAAGTTAGCAAAAATAAATCTTAACTCTATGCTGGCATAAAGCCTAGATAGGAATAGAAGCATAAGGAACTGTAAGAAACCCTCAGTACATAAAAAGATGGAAAAGTAAGAAAATGCATACCTATGAGTAGGTAACATATGCTGGGAAATGAAAGAAAATTACAATGGAAGTAAAAGTATTAACAGAATGTCTCAGAGACTCAAAAGTAGGTTTTGAGGTACATGAAGAATAAACAGAAACCTAGCAATAATCTTGTTCCTTTACCAAATAGGCACAGTGGAACTGTTAATAAGAGAGCAGAAAAGATGACACATCTGATTACTATTTCCATTCTGCATTTGGGAAAAAAAAAAGTCTGACATTCTACTGCCTGATGGAGAAATACTTTCCACTTCAACAGTAACTAAGGACTATGCTGAATGACAACAACTGAGGTCAGACGCTTGAAAATTAGCACATTCTTATAAACTGTACTGAAGAGTTTTAGAGCAGTTTACTGCTCTAAAGAGAGCACTTATGGAAAGAGCAGCTCACTGGACCATTAACATTAATCATCAGTATTTCTTGGAATACAAAGGAAACTCCACAGGATAAGGAAGAAAATCAATGTTGTGACAACCTTCAAAAAGCATTAGAGTGATGTCTGGGACATCTGTCTGTCAAGTTGACAACAATGTCAGGAAAAAAAAGTATTGTAGCAATTTATATGGGATTTTACTAATAAACACATAGTATGAGACATGTAATGTCAGTCAATACAGATTTATGACTAAGATGTCTTGTCAAACCACTTCAATATGTTTTTGCAAATTACAAGTTTGACTAATAAAGACTGAAAAACATGCATTAGAATGAGATACATCACAGACTCAATCAAGTTGCTTATCAGGCCATGATCTATATCACAGTCAACAAAAATATGATGAGAGAAAGCTCTTCAATCTATCAGGATACAGTATCATGAGTGCTAACGGTCAGAGGCAAGACATATTCAGACAGGACATTACCAATTACCTTCACAGTTAACAAACAGAACAATTTTACACGAGTTGTCTCAGAGCCGCTGTATGTGGATGATCATATTATACAGACTTGTCTCTCATGCTCTTAAAATCTACAGAGAGAAAACATCCTTGTGTGGTACACACTGAAATACTCCAGATTTAATGTGAAAGCCAACCAAGAGAGTATCCCACCTTGAGAAAGTTGACAAAAAGCTTTGAGATCAAGAAAGGCTGCCTTAAATAATATTTTCTTCTCTTGAGGCAGTTGAGGAATCTAGACACCCTCATTCAGAAGTACGTAAGTAAAGCTACTTCAGGTGCTGGCGAAAAGGAAGAGACAACCCACTTGTTACCCATATAATCAGCTGGGCTACAGTGAGAACGCTATCTTCAGGATCAAAGAATGAAAAAATACATGGAGGGCTGCAAAGGAACACATCAATGCATGCCTGTAATTAGAATTGCTACAATATGAGGAGGGCAGACCTTGTCCCTATTTTCTGATAATTTTATTTATTTATTTATTTTTAACTTGCAAAAGGTAAGGCGCAGCATTGTAGATTGAAATCTGCCTGTCCTGGAGTTTCCTAAATCCGCTGGAAATCAAGGCAAATTGGACTGCATCTGTGTGGCCCTTTATAAGCTACAGTCTTCAGTGACGTACAATGAAATGGGGGGCTGGGGTAATGCCAGCCATCAGGAGAAGTAAAAAGGAGAAGCAAAGTTTCCCTCTAATGCCAAAGGTAAAGAGATGAAACAATCCATTCAGAGGGAGCTTCTACGAGGCAGAGAAAGGCTTAGATTAGTAAATATAAGAGTGTTCAAACAAGGTTAAGTTGTTCATATGCAAATCCAGAGCTCAAGGACTACTGCAGTATGAGTCTGAGTTGATTCAGTTATGGATAGAGGAACAAATTGCCAAGTTCAAACGTATGGACGAACAGATTATTTACTATTGGGTAAATTCTGCTGAGAATTCAGAGATCAAATCTCTCCTGCAATAACTGAAAATACGTCTGCTTTCACGCTGCAGTAGCTAAGAAGTAACTTATCCTCTTTTCCAGTAAGGGAGAACCTACCTCAAGCTAGCCAGCTTCAACTGACAGATGGATAAGAGCATACACCCTTTTCCATCATGACAGGACACCTGATTGAGGATACGCTGTTACTCTGCAGTAACTCATTAATATGTCCATAGCCCAGCTATAAGCCTCTCCCCGGACCTCAGAGTGGTTTTTGTCCACAGCTTCTAATTAAAAAAAGTAGGCATTGTCCCACGCCTCTAACCTCTTGCCCATTACATGCTCCAGTCACCACAACCCTCTGGAGGCAGCTTTGTTAGCGATTAGTAGTCTGGACTTAATTGTCCACGGCACACACGTTCTCCAGCTCCTTGTAGCATAACAGGTTGCTCAGTTTGAGCCACAAATAAATATCTATATGCAAGTCTCCTTACCTCGATTGTGCTGCAAGAGAACAATAGTGGGATTGACGATTGTGGTAGAGGGATAGGCAGAGGAAGACTTGTTGATTGAAGTGAAGGAGGTTGGATAGTCAGTGCCAGTGCCAGTCTGGGGCACTTCATTTAGCACAGGACCTGGGTCCTGAAAAGGAGAGCAACACATCATTAGGAGCATGCAGAAGGCTGCTAAACCAGGAAAATCTGGAAAAAAACACCCCAATCAAAGACATTTTAAGCTCAATGAGAAGCAAAATCACAGCAAATCTTAGTAAAAAAGGTATAAGCATGAGTGTTACCCTGCTCCTTGTATGTACCCTGCTCGTTGTTAATGCAATTAGTTTGCTAAGGCAGTACTATAATTATTTGGTGTTGGGTTTCACAACGCCAACCCCAAAAGGAGGCACTAAATTCATCTGGCAGACTCCCTGGAGCAAACACAAGATGCCAGAAATGAGCAAATCTGGTTGGGGTGTGTGGGAAAGATGCAGACATCTTTACCCTGATACATACACACACAAACGTTTGTTTTAAAATTATTCCTGTCATAGCAAGAAGTCAGACATGCAAAACTCATGCAATTCTGGAGCGAAACGTTATTACTGCAGTTGGTTTGGTAAGGAAGGTCCAAGGCATAAGGTTAGCACCATCACACAGGAGACAGTGTGACACCTACCTGGTTAAAATAATGAAAGAAAACACTCAACAAACCCAAAAAAACAGATAGAGGGCAAAAAGTAGGACTCCAGCAAGGAAGATACTCAACATGGCTTTGCCACTAGAGCACAGATAGCAAGCTGCTCTTGCTCTCCTAAAGCATTCAGCTCCATTATCTGCTTATTTCAAACCCACCTCTGGTATCACCATAGCTCTGGTTGTTCTGTACAAGTACAGGCTGTGTCAGCTGAGAGACCTTAAAAAACTAGCTCATTTTTGAAAAAAATCTCAGTCCAAGGACATAGGGCTTTTGTTGGTAGTAAGGGAAAAAGACAAAGAAGGGACTAAGACTGTGTGTGCCAGTCTAGGCTGAGATTTTTCAAGCTTCTTAAGGAATTTGGACACACAATTACCATTAATGGGGAATGAGCACCCAAACAGAGTATGGAACAGCATACCAGATTTCTACACTCCTGCTACTGCTCTGTCAGACTGAAATGCTGCAGGCTGCTGACCTGTAAAATGGAGCTGAGCATCCATGGGGATTCTCATTGCTACCAAAAAAAACCCTGAAAATGCACAGAATATTCCTCCAGAAGAATCCCTACTCCTTGCCTTTCTGGCCAAGTGCAACTCAGTGCCCTTGATACCCACTAGTGTCAGAGGAAAGGACTTACAAGGATCAGGCAGAGAGCTGAACAGGGGCCAGAGTGAGGCCTTGCACCAGAGCTCAAAGATCAATCATAGTGAGAATTAGCCACAATCAGAACTAACATCTACAGCCTCTCCCACCTAGAGAGGAAATAGGGAAGAACAGTCCCGTTCTGCTGGGTGGAGGTGATCTTGCTCCAAGCAGCATCTGATCAGGCCATAGACATTTCATGAAGACAGAAAAGAAGTAATGGGAGAAGTATGAGAGAACTGGGTTTGAGCTTCACTCTGGTAACTAAAATATAAAGAATCCCTCAAAGAAGAGGGATATCAGATCAGGATAGGCTCAGCAGTCCCAGCTAAGTCACCAAAGTGGCTGAATAAAGACCATTTAAATCATTGTGAAAGACAGCTCTGTGACTACAGTGAGCATGCCCAAAAATGATTCAAAACTCATTTTATGAAAATCAGGTATAACAAAATTTCCACTACTCCTCTATGATTTGCACGCCCGCTGAATTTTTATAGAGCCTGCAGACAGGCTGTATTAAAAAAAAACCACCACACACACCAAAAAAACCCAACACAAATCAAAACCCCAAAATTTTCATTGCTCTCTGCAGTAGAAAATCATCGATTTCAATAGAAGCAGAAAGACCAAATGCTGGGAGCTTTTGAAAATATCATCCTTGGTTGTTGTTTTCTTTCCCCCACCCCACATATCCATTTGCTAGACCCCTACAGAGTCAGAGGGCAGAGAAGGCATCATCATGAGGAGAGGGTTTCTGCTGAAATTCTTACTTGTTCTCAACAAGCAACTACCTAAAAAAAAAACCCAACAAAATGCTGGTTGTAAGACTTCCAGTACAATGAGGATCAGGTACTTTTTGCCTTCTCTGCAACTTTAACTGAGAGGTACTTTTCATCCTTGTCCCTGAAGACTATTTAAAACAGGCGATGAGCCTAAAGAGAAACAAAACCTAATCCAAGAAGAACATGGTAAATTCCAAGCTAAAACCATTGCAGATTGAATTCTTCAAAATTTTCAAAGACAAGCAATTCCAAACTAAGAGACACTCTCCCCCTCATCTATCCCATAGCACCTACATGCTTGGAAGACTCTTAGCTCAGTAACTGATGTTATTGCTTGTAGGTCATTAGACACTGGTTTCAGCAAGGATTTGTGTAGAAACCATACAGTCTTGTGGCTCCAAGTGGAACAGAAAGCCAGCCCTAACCTTTAACTGGTCGGCTGTTACTGCTTTAAATGTTACTCAAACACAATTAAGGATGCTATTAAAAGAGCCTGAAGAGATCAGTTAGTTGCAGCTATTCTGTTTATAGAGAATTCATTATTCTGAGCAAATCCTGTAAAGACTCTTAAGGTGTGCATCATCTAGCAGAACGGGCACAAAGGGAGACAGCCAAATGTTGCTGCGAGAAGTCAATAGAAAGTTCAAAGCTGCACAAGGCAGGCAACACGCATGCACTAGCACAGGATGTAAACAAGGTTTCAGTTGTCATGCTGCTGGCAGGGAGTGAGTCATCACTCCTCTCGAATTTAGTGTTGCGAGGAGAAAGTAATTTTAATCTGGAAATACAAATTTAGGAAAAGGGCGAGGAGGGTACTTGGCAAGCTTACTGTACGTGAGATGACTCCAGTGATTTCAGGCTTCAAGCCCCTGTGCAAAGCCCCCGTGACTGGAGGGGCAAGTGAAGGTGGTGATGAGAAGAATGGCAGTTTCGGGTAAACAGAGGGTAACGTGCCGGATGCAGAGGGTGCTTGGTTGTGGTGGGAACCCCTCTGGAGATGTGGGGGAATGAAATCGTCTAGAGTCGGAAAAGTCAAGGGTGAGCCAGGAGAAACAGTCTCAGGGAATACGGAGCCTTGCCCAAAAGGAACCAGAGGTGGTGGTGGAGTGCTGGAGCTGCCTTCTTGCTGTCTGTCTGGATTAACCTGGAGGAGGGGGACTACTATAACCCCAGGCTGAGCTGTGCTGGTGGCAGTGGCATCCTGTAGGAAACAAGGTGTTGTTATGCAACGGGGGAGATCGGTACTTTAGTCTAACGCAGCCGCATAGTGTCATGCAAGGATGCACCCAAAATGATAGGAAGCCCCAGTAGACTTTCTTTTCTTAGAGAGACATACTTCTTCAGTCTTGCAGCCCTGGCCTCTATGAACGTGCACGTTTTTTCACAAAAATCTTTCTTCCCCTCACCACTCCTCCAGTTCTGTGCAGCGAGACTAAATGAAACCATAGCACAGCCTGCATTCACAATCACTTGAGAAGCACTAACTGTTGCATTACAGAGTTTGCTTCTTTTTGCACCTCCCTAAAATAGAAAGATCCTCACCAGCCCAAACCAACCCCCTACAAACAGCACACACGCACAAACGCACAGATCGATGTTGGGGGGCACACATGGGTTGTTAAGTAGTATTGAGTAGACCACGAGACTCAGGTGGCACAACGAGTGCTCAGAAATTAGGTAGGAGGGGAATAAAGCATTAAGGGAACACTGTAATGAATTAAAGAACCGTTCGCATGGCTGAAAGAAATAAAGGTTATGGAGAAAACATGTACCATGCTGCGTCCCATTGCCTTGTACGGCGGCTGTCGCTGATGAGTAAGGTAAGGCTCTTTTCTCATCCTGTCCTCTGTGGCAGCTGTGCTCTGGGGCTCTAGCACTCTGTCCCTCACAGCTTGCGGAGGTGACGACTGAGTCCAGGAGGGTTGGCCCGCGCCATAACTAACTGCGTCTTTACTGAGGACAATGTAAAAGTACGGCCTGGGAGGAACAGGAGGAGGAGGAGGAGCAGGAAGAGACTTTCCAGTATCTGTTACAGAGGAAACAATGTCGGTGGCTGGTGCCTGAGTGAGCTCAGCACCCAAACTGGTGCTGGCTGCTGGGTCATGTGCGGTGCCAGTGGAATTTTCAGATGCAGCTGAGCAAGTGCTGTTAGATAAACAAGCTACATATAGTCTGCTGACCTTTTTATCCGCCTTCGTCTCATGACCGGAATTCATTCCAGCCTTACTACTGGGATCTGCCCTGTCAGGGTTGTGTTGTATGGATGATGCATCTGATGAGGAGCGACTTTCCAAGAGCGGCTGCTCAGCATGCACCTCATCTTTGGGCCCTGAAGAGGGATAATGCCCTGCTGGCAAGCCTTGCTTCCCACCGAGGACGGCCCCGTAGGGGGTAGGTGACGAGAAATAACACCGTGCACTGGCATTTGGTGATGCACGCTGTGTATAAGGCTTGGGTGCATTCAGGTACACGCAGTCCATGATGGGCACTGGCAACAGGTTGGTCACTTTAGTGTCAGTGCGAGGACGCCATGCAAAGCTTTCCTCTTTAGGAAGAGGAGGACGGGGAGGAGCAAGGGTCTGCCCAGAGGGTCAAGAAGGAAGAGAAGGAGAGAGGAAGCAGCATCAAATGAAAGAAAAAAAGGAAGGAAAAATAAATAATTTCAAGGAATGAATTCGGTCATTAGATTTGGGTTAAGCAGGTTTTAATACAGCAAGAACAAAAAGCAAATTACTGTATCTGGAAGGCCAGTGCAGAACTTGCTCACATACATCATCTCACACATTCTCTCCTTCTTAGCACTGCTCACTGCAGCACGCAAACTTTGCCCAGCTCTGAAGTCCCTGCCTACACCTTTCTCTCTGGGCTAAATAAATCCCAGTGCTGTATTGTTTTGAAAGGCCTGCACAGCAACACCCACCATGCCCCTGGGAGAGTCTGAGTCAAGATTTAACATCCTGGCTAACTAAACCCAGGCTCATGCCTCTGTAACTAAATACTTCCCAGCACTGGGGATGTTTGAATCGCAAAGCCAAATTCAGAGCTCTAGGTCGCCTCTGCATGTTAAATGCACTGTTGAAAATGAACCTTGTGAAATTTCACCAATGCTAATGAAAGCAGATTTCATATGAATACTATTGCCTGCCACAGCTGTCTAAGTAAAAAGTCAGCATTTCTTCTTTCTAAAAGCTAGCTCCTCAATTCTCTTCAGGATTTTTCAGTCCTGAAAATGCTTTCAGGAAGACTAGAACAATTAAAGTTTCTTGAGGAACTGAGTTCATAAGAATTTGCCTTCAGAATCAAGATCTCTGACACAGAAATCCTGCTTCTAATAAATAATAATAAAAAAAAGCTTTACTGTTTTTTGTACTTTGCAACATACACATTGCTAACTCCATAACTGCTTGCCAATTGCAACTCCAACTTCAATTACAGTGAATTTTTTCTGAAACCCAAACCATTTTGAAGCAAAATAACTTAGTAATAAAGAGGTTTCATTTTATTTATTGCTTTGTTGCCAGTAGCTGAAAACTATAAGCTACTGAAAGGCAGAGAACTATAACACCCACCAGTAGCTCCCTGGATTCTTGCAAATTAACCCTCTGGAGACTATGAAATACGGTTTTACACGCACTCTGTTGTCACATCTTTATGGGCAAAGGCTGTCTAAACCACTACTAAAACAGTCAAAACCAGAGAATGAAGATGCCTTAACAGCTTGCAACACTCAAATCTGAAAAAATAACTCCTTTAAAATTAATCCACATGACAGGTTGTGGCCAGAACCTATTCTTGTTACACGGATATAGACCTAGAATAGCTTCCTAAAATTATAGCTGCTGTCCCAAAATCTACTGCCTCTCTTTCCCCCTCCTCCCGCATGTGTAAGGAAGAGGAGAAGTGGGTTGGTAAATGCTTGTTCTGAAGGGCTTCTGCTTCTGGACCAGGCTCATTCTATTTCATTCCCTAAGGAAAGTAGTTTCAGTCTGGAGACTTCAGAGTGCCACAATATTTCCCTAGGTTAGATGAAGCCTCACTTTACCACTATTTACCACTACTTGGCATTATCCACCATAATTCACCACCTGCAATTGCTGTTTTCCATTTTCTTCCATTTCAGCTTAGTTTGGGCAGCAGTCCTTAAGACTTCCATAAGAACGGCTATGTGCATCAACACTCTATTCATCAACAAGATCAATAAAGGACTGCAAGACAGTTCTAAGTATCAGGCAGTAAATGGGTGTCTCCTTTAGTTAGGGTGCTGCTCCTTCCCATGCCTTCATCTGAATTGTGTCTTCTTCCACTTCCACTTACAATTTCAGGAACAGTGTTCTATGGCACTGCTATAGGTCCTTGATGATAGTAGCAGTCACCCTGACAAGAGACAAGGCTTTAAAGGGACTCTTATACACAAGAAGGTGGTTTCTGATGAAGGGTTTCCCTATCAGCTTTCAGGCTGTTTCTGTGCAGACTGACCATGCAAAAGAAAAAGGATGAAGTTACACTTCTCTTAACAGATTGTCTTCAACAATTCCCCTTCAGGTACAAATAACCTTTCCCTTGTTGGCTTGTATCAGTTAAGCGTTAAAACTGACAGGCATTTCTCCAATGGCTTGTTTTTAATGTAGGGTGTAACTTTGCTTTCAGCCTGCAGTAAGCTCCAGAAAATAGACCAACATAAAAGACAAAACAGTAATAGATGACTACTTCACCTTTTTTCTTGCAAACAAATAGCATTGTTCTCCTCTTTCATCCACCAAGGAAACACTGTGGTGCACCTGAACACAAGCTCCACAGCACTCTGCTGACATCAGTGTTGCCCCCATTTTAAAGGTAGGAAAAGCTGAGGCACAGCAACTTACCCAAGTCTGCAGAAAAGTTTGGAGTTCAACCCAGGACTCCTGACCATGAATCCAGTGCTTGAACCCAGATGATCACCCTTAGGGTCACAGAAGAAAGGCTTACCTGCGGCTTGCTGTCTGAGGAAAGGTTCGGACGCACACTCCTATAACCCTTGGCAGCCAGAGAAGATGGTTGGGCATCCCCATTGGCATCAGTGTTAGATGATGACCTCCAATCATCTATGAGGGGAAGGAAAACTCAGATCACAGAGGATTCCCTTCACCCATAGGGAAAGCAAAAGGAGGGGACTCTCTTCTTCCTTTTTTTTTTTCCCCCTTCTTTTTTTTTTCCAGGCAAGAAGAAATACTTCCAAGAAAGCAACAGAAGTAACAATATAAGCAACCAATGTTTGTACCTGTTTCTGGGTTTTCTGGCTCCAGACCTATCACAAAAATTAGGGGTAAGGGAGAAGGATAGGCATAGAGGAAAAGAAAGGGGAAAAAATAAACCGTTACATTTACAGAAAACATGTACCAATTGAAATTAAAAGTTGAGCTACTTCATTTCACACATAAAATGCTTTCTGACAGAGCTGCCTAATTACCATAGAGACCAGCCCTAAACACGATGCCCTCCTTGTTTCTGACCTTTGTAAACACAAGGCAATTCATTCAGAGCAATGAAGAAACAATTGTTCATTGACATTCTTATTTCGGAGGCAAAAAGGCAGCCCAGCTAGCTACTTTTTAAAGCTGCAGCTTGATGTCCAGACACCGCAAATTACTGGAAATGTAGGGACCCCATATTCAGCCATGATACAGGCTATGAAGACAAATCTATCCTTATCAACATCACTATGTATGATTAACTGAGATAAAAGACTGCCAACAAATAGATCAGGTTTTGCAGACTAAGTGTGTGTGCATGAAGCAAGTTATAAAACATGATGTCACTTTACAACCCAGACCCTGCAGCTAGATGCATTAGTCTCATTACCTATTTATCCATCTCTCACTGGGCTCCTCCCTACCTCTATACCTATTCTGCTGTTTAAGTTATATGCAAAAAGCTCTTCCAGCTCCAAAGTACATTTCATAAAGCGATGGATAGAGTAAGCAAAGGAAGTATTAATGAGCTGATTTCCATAGTAATGGGCTCATTGCCATTCAGGTTGCTGGAAATTTATGAAGCCATCAACAGAAAGAAGAGAGGCAATAGTGAGGGGTGAGTGAAGAAACAGAGAATGGCAAGCATGAAAAGAGGGTAGGTCATGGGTAGAGCAGAATGGGAGAAGACAAAGCAGAAAGTAGCATGTGGAGTCTGGAATTAATGGAATTGCCCTTCCTCCAACAATACAGTCAGAAACAATGTATGCTTTGCTTTCAAGAGCAAGTTTGACCCCCTCCCCCCTTAACAGCATCTTGCCTTTGGGAGTTCATCCTCTCTGCCAGACCCACAACACTGGCCAGGTTTGTTATGCTTTGCCTGTCTCCTACAATTAAGTAATTACACATCTGCTATTGAAAGATGGTAGAGCTCTATGGCAACACTGTCTGTCTGGGACGCTATCCCTGCTTCCTTGACAACCCAAGTGAATGCTACAGTGGCAGTAGCACCATTTGGCCTCTTTCTGTTCCACCCCATGCCTGGGATGAAAGGAAGTGACGTGGGCCTGCCAAGAAAAAAAAAAAAAAAAAAAGAGAGCTTTTGGTGCTCCTGACAGCAAAAGGGAGCTGTAAACAAACTTAAGCTAACGAGTGAGCAGCCAAGAAACTTGCACTAGGAGAGAGCAGGAGTCAGTCTCCCTTCACTAGTCTGGTTTCCAATTATGCCATGAAACTAGAGGTTTCCAATTATGCTATGGGATTTGGGACTTTAAATCATAGCTTTAAAAAAAAAAAAAAGAGTAATCCCAAGACTCTGGTCTGACCTCACTTGAGGTTATTGTAACATATTCCAGTTAACCTTCCACCCACTTACTTTCAGGCTGTTCAACATCCTGAGGACATGGCGAAGTGATATTCTGATTCTCTTCATAGGCTGGAGATGCCCGAAGGGTCACAGCTCCTTTTCCACTACAGACTCTAGTGGGATCTGTTTCTATAGGAAGTGCACATACACAGAGGACACACACCGAAACAGATGATACAAAGCTATTAGGAGCTATCAGAATTCTACAGAGTAATTTAAGCATGGCTGCCTCTGGGTGAATCAATCTAGTAATGTTTATGCAGATGAAGATTAGTTCTGGATTTAAAGCATTGAGAAATCAAAGCAGTTTCATATTCATGTAACCGATGAACGTATAAGTAAGTTCTGAGTCAGTGTAACAGAGCTTAGAAAGGAGGAAAAAAGGATGAGTGTTTGAACAAATTTCACAGGTCCATTTGCTTTATTTGGTCTGCTTTGTGTGGAGATACTGTACTGTCAAGGACATCCTACCATTACATGTGTGGCTCTTCTATAGGGACATCCCAGTGGAAAGAAGCAGTATGACTTGTGTGCTGAAAAGCCTTAAAAATGCCTTTTGTGCAGGACTGAAAGAGGGGGGGGGAAAAAAAGTCTTAGGACCACTGCAGGATAAAATCTTGCAACTATGCTGAATATGATCTAAAGGCAGGGCACTGCAAGCCACCTCCTTGCCATCTCCTCCTGTTCCATAGCAGTGTTTCACCTTCTAACGTAGGAACCCACGTCCCAAAAACTAGAAGGAGGCTGAACATATATACCTGTTCAGATCACTCTGTGAGACAGACACCAGATCATGCCAGTGTCCTTGCTGAGGCCTGATTCAGCACAGCTTCTGTGCAGGCTTACCTTTGTGCATTTCGGTCCATGGATTTGGGTTTTTTGCTCCTGTCATCCTATTAAGTAATAACAAACCACTACTTCAAGGCTATCCTCCTCCCCTTAAAATTCTTCTAAAGAGTTGTTTCCTCTAAGATACCTATAGAAACAGTAAGTCTAAAGAGTCTCTCACTTATCCAAGCTACTCTCACAGGAAAACACATTATCTCCCTTTTTCAAGCACTGTTACTGACTCTGCAAGCTGCCATGAAACTTCACTTTGACCTACCTAAACAGAGGTGCTAGTCCTACCATGAGACCGCACAGGCAGCCTGAACTGGTACCAAGCACGTGCTGTGTTACACAAAGAACAACACGATTTTTATTTTTATGGGGTGAGGATTATGCTATCTCTGCACAGGGAGGGATGCAGCTCCTCTCTAGGAACTGTCAGTAAAACGAAAGTTATGCCTTCAGACTGGACAGAGGGGGCAAAGGCTGCTGTTTTTTTCCCAGACAACAGCCCATGTTTGCGCAGATCAATGTTCCCTGGTTGATTTCAGTAAGATAACACCCCTCTAAATACACACCAGTACAGGGCCTATAGACTATGACAATGCCTCAGCTAAGGTTACAAAACACACAAACCACAGCCAAGATGGCCACAACACAGGGAAACATCAATACTGTCAGATGGACAACAGCAGTAAGGGGAAAGACTCCACAAATATCGAACATGTGGCTCACATCGAAAGCCCTCTACACTGGAATCACTACAGTTCAAGCTTTTAGGTGGGCTTCCAATGCTTTAGGGATTTCACAAAACACATAGCTTCTGATCCTCACTTAGGTCTGGAGAAAGGATAGAATAAGTAAGGAATCAGAGGATACTTTCCTACAGTTCAGCCTTTAGTTAATTTAGGCAGCATTGAGGTAGCTTCTGTGAGGGGAGAGACTATCCACACAGATGTATCAAATGCTGCTTAATCCTTAAATATACCACGTTTGCACTCACACCACACAACTGATCATGCCTTAAGGTCACCCGCATGCCTGGTGAAACAGAAGTTGACTTATCTGAGTGATTTTTGCATGATCCAGATAGGATCAGTATTCCTTTTTGCCCAGGAGTTCAGATCTGGCTATCGTTCGCATCCACACAGCACAACATGTAGCCTGAGGACTCCACAGACCCACTTTCAAACCAGAGGAGAAAGGTTTAAGCTCTGGGACTCCAGTTTCAAGAGTGCTGTAACTCTGAGGCATGGACACGCTGTCGGGAGTCACCAAATCTTATTCAGACATCCACAAAGAGTGCAGAGTAGCTGCTGTTCTATGCTCCTACCTTCACAGGCACTGGAGAGAAATGGAGACACTTAAGAGTTCAATATGTCAGAAATGTCTCCATCATATTGGAGTAGAATCAAATTTGGGAATCAAAGCACCTTTTTTTTTTATTTTCACACAACATATTAAACTTGTATACTGAATCAAAAGAATAAGAATCAGGAAAAATATATATTCTGAATTCAAAAAAAAATTAAAATGTTTTGAAAAGGTTTGAAAGTAAAATATTGCCAGACTATTTCAATTTGGGAGAGGAATAAAAATATCTAAGATGTTGAAACCTCTAACAATTTAGATGAAATGATGGAAAACAAAAATCTGAATCTCTCAGTATAGAAATCCAGCAGATGGTCATAAACACATTAGCCCTGTACTAGTCCAACCAAGCACATGTGTGACAGATTAGGAGAGACAAGCAGTTATCAGCTAAACTAGTTTGACTGTCCAAACCTAGCAAAGTACAAAAATGATCTTGTACTTTTACTTGGAAAACATGTGACTGGGGAGGAGGTGACAGACAGCCTAACATCCTTATCCATATAAAGATTCTGTAAAGTCAGTGCATGTACAGAAAAACAAAACCATCCCCCCAATGTTAAACTATACTTGAACCTGTAAAATACCATCTCTGACATCCATTTGCTTTCATAAAGACTAACGATATGCAGGAAAGATCCTCCGGTTCATCAGGAGTTTGGTCCAAAATGAGGCTGTAATAACAATACGATTCATAATCAAGCACTAGTAGAAGAGCTTACAATGATCCCAGATTCAAGTAGACACAATTATCTCTGCAGAGGAGTAGCATAATTTGAGAAAAGTGTATTGTGCCATGAAGAGCTAACTCTATTACCTACTGATGAAATCTACAGCTCTGGAAACAGTGAGAAGAGAATGAAGCTGAAAACTAGCCAAAGTGCGTGGGTGAAGCGGAGAGACAGAGATGGGGGGCGGGGGGAGAGAGAGAGAACAATGGCCAACTAATGCATGGCAGGGGAAGGAAGGAAGAAGATACCTGTAGGCAGCACTAGGTGAGGAGAACTTTTCACTTTCTTCACAGGGATTATTTTAACGGCAGAAATAGAGCGTGTACATAAAGGGACGTCAACAGCTGCAAACACAAAAGTGTAAATGGCACATCCAAAAAGGAAAGAACAGAGTTTGGGAAGCATGCCACAAAATTTTCTAATGTACTTGGAGACACAATAGCAGGAAATTTCAAATACAAAAGCAGTCCAGAGAACAGTGATGCAACTGTTAAAAATATCCCTTCGTTCACCCTAATTCAGGATGTGTCTGTTTTATGCAGCATGCAGAACTGCATACTGAATTGACTAACTGATGAGCGCCACTACACTGCAGGCGAAAAAGAATCTGGAAGCATTAGTCTTTAGAAGCCATCAAAAAATTTGAGTGTAATCATTTAGCTGAGAAACGCTACATGCAAAAATAGTTAACGTTAATATGGCTCAGTTAAAACAAACTGAAAAAACAAGCACTGAAAGATGAAAGGAACATTAAACTAGCCACATTACATGAATTCTGGATTTTATGGCACACATTTTACAAGTTCAGCAACAGAAGGAAGTGAAACGTGAAATAATCTTGAAAGTAGTCCCATGTCAAAGTGTAGCATCAAAATATTCATTTCCAAAAAAAAATCTATCAATTTAAACAGTATATTGAAGAGATTTCTACTGGACTCCATCAACTAGCACACTAATTATACTAGATGCAGTAGCACAGGGGAAAACCATACACAGCACTGTGCAAAATTCTAGCAATTGTTACAAAACTGTCCAAACCAGCTGGTACTTCCTCTTTCCAACTCTGTATTGCAGTTAATGTGGAACTCTCTTTGAAAAAGGGGAAAAAAAGAAAGGAGAAAAAAAAAAAACCAGAGGCAGTGGTAAAAAAAAAAAGCAAAGGCAAAACTACTCAGAGGTGATGCTCAACAGGATCTGCCAAGATAAACGTCTTGTAAATCATAGCTCCACCTGAATAACTTGAGTTGTGCTCTTGATTTCCACAGAACCAGGATTTTCTCCTTTAACACCTATTAGCTTTCTGCATGTGCTAACTGGAAAACGCTAGATGCCTCATCTGTCTCAGACCTGCAAAATCAGGAGTAAGAGGAACCACATTTCTAAGACTTTACACACCAATATTGAGCACTGGGCCAGCTTGAGGGAGGCATTGACATCAAGATGGTGTGTACACCCCCTCTTGTGGCAGATCTTCCTGGTCCCCGGCAAAATGGGAAAGCACCGACTTTACCAACCTAGAAAAGGGCACTCAAGCAAAAGAATGAGGGAAGAGCTTGATAAAATTTTTTCAAACCTCATAAAATCATTAGTTTTTAATTTGATGGATTGTTTAAATTTTTTTTTTTTTTTAAATGAAAGAGGAACTCAAATCAAACCCTGTTCTCCATGCTTCTTCCTGAGCACTGAAGACCCTGCAAATACAACAGATCCCAAATCCAAACAGCCTGTGGTTTAGAAGACAACCTTAATTCTGTTCTGCTCTGTAACTGACTGAAGTCATCCATCCACAATGCAGTCAAAATACTAATCACTAGAAAAAGGCATCAAAGGAAAAGAAAGGAAAGGAAACCAGCAGAAAACCAATCCATACAACCACATACTTTCACTCTGCCAAAACACACACCATCACTATATACTATTGAATGCTATGAAGCACACTGCAAACCTGCTGATGTTAACATGAAGAGTGGTTTGTTTAGATATGCTTGGGTTTTAAATGGTTGTTGCTAATGACAGATTTTTTTATTACTTAAATGGTTAGTTCCTGCCCTTTAATCCTGGGCTCAAACCTTCACCTCCCACTGAAGTTTACAGGATTCTCACATAGGCACCCACAAACCCATGCTGCCTAAATGCCCTAAGATATTGAGTCACAGATGTTCGCAAGTACCACAAGTAGTTCATGGCTTTCCTCAAAACAGCACTAAAAATATACAAAGAGGCAAATCCAACCTGTCACCTTTAAGAGACAAAGAACACTTGTTGAATTAAGAAATGCTGCTGGCATGGTGCAGCACAAGGCTTTTCTTGTATCAGTCACCAAGCAAACTAAATTTGGAAACCCCTGCTCTAGTGAATGTCCAGGGAAATCAACCACATCGCGCAGCTGACATGCAGAGGGAGCTGCAGAGATGTCTCTGAAGCTCTTAACCCACCTTTTTCTTGTCCATTGCTGCTCAGCCCATTGACAACAGTTTTTGCAACATCAATTTCTTCATGTTCTGCAAGATAAATGAAGAGGAGGATTACTTCTGGGTTAAAACATCTGCAACTGAATTTAACCTCTGACTATGAGGGGATGCCGTGGGTCAACAGTATTTGATTCAAGAACTAGGAAGTATTCCTACTGTCTCAGGAGATATTGCTTGGAGACACAAATCTCTCTTATATGACACTCTTGTTTCTCCTTTCCCTTTTCCTACCTGGATCACAGCCTCTTTCAAACAGGGACAGTCTCTGTATGTGCATATTGCATCCAGCTCAGTGATGAGATTTTCAAGTCTGCAACGTCCTCAGCTGACATGAATAAAACTGGCTCTTGTGAATTCAGAACACCACAGAAGATAGTGCTAGAAAGGACCTCCGAGGGTCATCTAAAGCCATAGTCCTGACCCATGGCAGAAACAAATCTACCCTTGTTGCTGCTGTCAAACGTTTGCCCAATAAGTTCTTACAAACTTCCAGCATCACCCTAAAGCAATCTCTTCCAGTGCTTCACAACCTAGAAGCTTATCAAGGCTTAAACTAAATTCCCAGCTCATATTTTTCAGACCTTGATTAATCTCATAGCTTTCTTCTGGACTCTCTAAAAATGGTTCACATTTTTCTCAAAATGTGGTGCTAAAAACTGGACACGATACTGCAGCTGAGACTTGATAAGGCACTAAAATCCACAGGTCCTACATATGGCACTTCACTATGACGTCTGCTTTGTTTTTCACTCTGATTTAGCCTGTTACCCAGACGAGCCCAGAAGTTTTCCTCTTCTCAACTAGCCCCATTTCTTGGTCCCTCATTTTTGTCTGAACAGCTGAATTTTCCTATCCATATGTCAAACTTTGCATTCATCCCTACTAAATCATATAAAATTATTTCAGATCATTTTTTCAGGTAATCAATAATTTTGAATTTTTGTATTCCAAAGTGAAAGAAGCTACAGTGACCTACTCCAGTTCAAGAGGTTTCTAGTCATTTTTTTGAGCATTATGGGCCAAATTGAAACAACAAACACAAAGCCAGGACACTTCACTAATGAAGCCATTCTGCTGTTGCCTTAATGGTCAGATTCCCTGAGCTTTCCAGGGCTTTGACTCTTTTCTGGGAGGCAGAAGAAAAGTCAAAAAAAAGGAAGAGTAATTGCATCAGAAACAGACAGGAACATTTTTAGTAATAAAAAGGAATGCCAGTGAGGGCAAGTGGAAAATAACACAGACTTACCAGAACTCATTGTGGCAGAGGGACTTGCCTTTTTCACTTCTGGATTTTGTTTATCTCTGTTTAAAGTGAAAGGCAGAACAGTTAAGTTATTACGTTATGTTTCATGTCTGCCCAGACAGCACTGGACATCATGCTGAACATTCATGACAAGTCTAGGTAATCGTGACAGTTTCTTCAAAAAAAAATTTAGATTCAAAATCCAAATGGAATTATGTCATTCAGCAATTACATTGTTTGCTGATAATTATCAGAAATTAAATAGTATTTCCATCAAATATAGGTAGTACTTTCAGACTTTAAGACTAATCCTTAACATTAAATCACAAGATACTATTAAAGCCTAAGAGTCTACATATGGCAAAGTGCAAATCTGGCTAGCTTCTCATTTATAAAATGTGCATCACCTTTAAGGAAAAAAGAAAAAAAATCTCAGTGAGACTAAAAGCTTTAAGCTAAAACCCTCAACTTAGACTATTGCCAGATTTCAAGGTGATCTGTTGCTTAGATCAAAGTCAGCCTCTCCTTTGAAAAATGTTACCATACAGAAGAGATATTTGTTGAAATGCGCATTAACTTCCGCACCAATCATTTCCAGTCCTGCAGTGCCACTGATATTTTCAGAATCAGACTTCAGTAAGTGTAACTTGAAAATTAGAAGCTTTAATCCTCTCGGGACCAAAGGCAGTGAAATTACCAACCCAAGGGAAAAACTAACAGATGGAGACCAGAATAGAAAAAAAGTTAATGTTCATGGTCATGATCGCCTATGGAGGATAACTGTGGGGCCTATTTGTACCCAGTACCCACTCCTGTGGGGACTTGATACTTGCAGCAATCGAACAGGTTTCAATGCCACACCACAGATGTTGGTTTGAATAGTCAAAGACTGACATTTCTACAAAACAAGTCCCTATTTCCCAACATCTCTGAACTCTCTAAAGGTCCTAGGTTGAATTACAAACCCTTTTATTTTGTGTTCCAGTCTCCTCCCTCCTCTCCCTAAAAAAGCTAGCACTAAAGACAGTGAGATCAAGTGTAACTCCAGCCAATTAATGGCTGCCATGACACGAATAGAAATAGGTATCTGAAGCTCAGAGAAACAAGAAACTAAACAAGAGAGTTGGAGATGCTGGTTTTACTGTTACCTGAACTGGAAGCAGCAGTGAAACATTGTAAGAGGTGGAAACCGCCTTCAGGGAGTTAAATTTGCTCTCTTCCCTCAAGTGTCCCCATTCTTAACTAGCATTTGTTTCATACCAGCCAGAATATAATCAGCATGTTCAACAGATAGCAAAAGGAAAGAAAATTCAGCAAGCAACAATAGTAACAGATCAGTCTGTGAAACCAGCCAATATCTGGGCTCTCCAGCATGCCACCCTGGCAACAGCTGCCAACACTTAACTATTTAAATATTTTCTTCGTTAAAATATCCACATAAGATACACATCATGGGTTGATGAAGGCTGAGCAGAATGCAGCCTAACTCCAAACTGATCCCAGCAAAACACAGTGTGAAGTGGAGGGTGCAGTCTAAAACCAGTCAACAACAAAAGCTGAGCCCTACTTAAGAGGCCTGCTGCCCGACTTCGCCTGCCCATACAGTATTTGCTTTTTGTTTATATCATTTCATATTAGCAGTAAGTACTCTGAAATAGTAACAGTTAACACAGCCTGAAAATTTAGACCAACATGCTTAATATTAATAGTCTTTCTGAGCTCCATACATTTCAGTTGCAGAAAGATGCCTTAGTTCAAGCAAAGCAGAAACAGGCTAAACCGACAGGCTATCCAGGCTGAAGAGGTCTGTAGCAATATCATGCTCTTCTATGTATGGAAAACTGTTATGAGTTAGACTCACTGGATAGATACAAGTCTCTCCATAGGGCAGGGAGATAACTACAAGAAGGGGCAGTACTGCAGTTAAGTCTCAACTCAGCTTTGGGATTAAAGCCATTCTGAAGCTGAGGAGGTTGCTGGTACCCAAAAATTTTGACTCAGCACTGGCCTTCTCCATGGGCTTCATACAAGTCCACAGAAAGTTTCTTTCACTCTAAGCATCCCCAAAAGGTTGTATGCCTTCCTCTGGTATACAAGATAAAAAAGGTAGGGGGAAGACAAAAAAAGAGGTAATACTAGTTCATGTGCCTGGGCACAGGCAGGGTCCACTGCTGCTGCAATCCCAGAGCAACACAAGGTCCCCTTCCACAATGGCAGTACCCAAGTAATTAAACTTCTGACCCCATGTTTTTTACTTTTTAAAGCTGTCTCATCTCTGTCCAGAAACAGTGACATCACAACTATCATAAAACTCTGATTTCAGTGATGCCTTTGTGATTTAAGAGTCTTGACATTGCTTACAGTGTGAAGCACTGGCCTTCATTGTATTAAGGAAAGAATTCACACCAAAAAAGCACAATTATTTGGCCTTAAAAGAACAAATTACTTTTCACAAAAAGTGATTTGAGGTTAAAAATAAAGTGATAATTAAAGAAGTACATTTGCTAAAATTCAATGGAGGAGACATACAAACTCATTAGAACTAGATCTAGAAAAAATACTTTTCCACATATCCTCACACTTACTAGCAATTATAGAATTCAATTAAAAGAACAAGCATCCAGTGTTCACTTACTGTGAAACTAATCAGCATTATTCAAGCACTCAAACACATACTTAATGCAAGTTCCCATACACAGAATGGATTCAGCGTGCTCGGGGTAAATGTAACCAATCCTGAGCACCTGGGTTAGTGTAACTCAAACTCATTTACAAGTTGATTTTGATCAGTTGACGATCTGCATACAGATTTGCTGCATGCAGGCAGAAGTAACTGCTGTTTAGATTGAGGAAATGGTGGTGCACGTTTGCAGTTGAGAACATGCTTCAGTGCCTTTTTGCATCAGGACTACTGAGCTATTCTGTCTCCCACATGCTTAACCCAAACCACATACTGAAGCCCTGTTAGGCCTATCTTAGCCCCAGGGCCACTCTTGGGATCAGATACATCATCTAGCCAGACAGCACATCTGGCTTTGTGGCCCCAGTATAGCAAAGTGTTGCCCTCTGTAACTCTTGGGAAGGTACATGCTGTACGTCAGTGTGCCATCAGTGTTTGGACAGTACATCCTTAGACACAGCAGTCCCTGCCAGGTTCGCCAGACAGGCTGTCCATGGGCTGTGGGAGCAGGTGAATGTGGAAACATTTGCTGCTCCCAGTTCCCCTTGAGAACTTCCTGTAGAAATGGCCAAGTCGTTCCTGCAGACGCACATGCAAGGGCGCACAGCAGCACTTCAGAAGGGAGCCTTTCATACGGAACCAAACATTAGATACCTCATGCCAATATTAAAAACAGAAACTGGTACTGCCAGATCAGGCAAAACAAAACAAATTAAATAATATAAACAACAATAATAATATAACAGTAACTAAAACCCCCCAAGGGTCTCCTTCTGGCTCCCTGCTCTAACCAGTTAGCCAGTGTCTTTTTGCCACACTGGAAATTGTGCCTTTCTTAAAATGTGACAGACATAGCATCAAAGGCTTCAAAGCTGCAGACATTCAAAACACAATGAAAGGTAATGAATTCCTCAGGGCATAAGCCAGCGGCTGTAACCCCGAACACGCCACTGTCCACACATAACATCCACCAACTCCTTGCCAGCTCGGTCATACCTCTAGTCAGACGTTTAATGCTTCCTTCCTCCCTTTCACCCCGAGCACATTTCTTCCAAGGCTGTGGCTCCTTCCCTACTTGGTGTGGAAAAGAGAGCAGTGCATTTAGAAGCCTATTTAGGAGGAATGCAGATAAGTGGCAACTACTTCTGCACAGCATGTCTCTGGATTATCTCACATTCTCTAAACATTCGAGTACTCCTCCTACAATGGCAGGGGGTAACAAACAGCTCATTAATAGTTCCGAACAAGGACACACGCTCTTAAGTCACTGGTATCTCAGCTAAGAGTCGTAGATGGTGGTTATTTTTGGTGGTCAAATGTGCATGTGTGGGGAAAAGTAATTTCCTTTTGTTTCTTCTCTTGTTATTATTGACAACTCTGATGACTCGCATCGGATTTTGAAACAGTTGCTAAACGTGAGATGAGTATGCAAAACCTATTGGCCAGTTCCCTTATATTCCTGAGATTTGGACTCCGCTTCATCTTCTTAGTTCTGAGTCTTTCACATTTTCAAAGTCTTGTCTCCATATATAAGAGCTTTTAGAGTTTTGTTGGCTGCGCTTAAATGAAAAATCAATTTCTTATTTATGTTAGTATAATCTAGGAATTGAGGCTTTTAGAAAAACGGTAAGCTTTCAGACTTCAGGGATGATCAGCAATCACAAAACTTACTTTTCACCCGGACAGGTCTCACATCACAGACAGCACCCATTTGTTTAGCCCCTAGCTCAGACCCCTTCTCACATTGCCACTACTGTGCCTAACCCAGATTCTCTGCTCAATCAGCCATGCCGGCAACGTAACGTTCCAAATCTGGAACGTGGGCAAAGCGCTGCACTGCAGCCAGAGCCTCCTTCTAGGAGGTTCCTCTGCTTAAAGGAACTTGCTGGAAAGCGCATCTCCTCTGTACTTCTCACTTTGTATCACATAAAACGTGGCAAGAAAAAATAACTAGAATATGGGAGGCAGCTTCAAGTTGACCCACACAATCAGATCTCTCTCTCTCTCTCTCTCCAAGTATCATTATTCTCTTATCCTGAAATACTGAGAGAAATATGTTGCTTGTCATTTTTATTTTGAGGGTTAAAGAACATCTTGACATTCCTTCAGAAGACATTATGCTCCTAAGAATAAATGTAATGAAAAGACTACGAATAAGCAAGCAGCGTACGGAGAAGAATCATACCAATTCTGTGTAAGACAATGGCCTCCCCACGCTCTTCAGTGAGTGTTGAGACAGTAGAGAGGGAGCAGTGAAAGCTCACTAAATGAAACAAATGGTAGCATAGAACATGAGCTTTGATAAGCTGTTCTTATAAATAATTGAACTTACAGCTGTTAGAATAAACAAACAG